GTGAGAAACTCAAAGTGAAAAGGAGAAAGGAGGAAAGGATAGAGATTTCACTGGAAATACTACTGGAAAACCCTGTGCCCAATCCTGCAGGGCTCTACAAAACACACTTGGATGTCAGAAACAACAAAAAAGCATAGGGCGCACTGAGATCACAGCAAGCCTTCTAGATTCACTTCACTGTGGAGAGCCCCTTGATCTGCCAGAGACTGTTGGAAGGAATAATCAAGTAAGATTAAATCACTACTACTTTTCAGCACATCAATCAACGAATCCATTATTTCTGGGAAACTCTTGCAAGTTTCCCTTTACAAACATGAAAGCTAGAACCAACTTCTTTCAAAAGATGATTGCTACAGTACCCAGAATCTGCTTATGATCTATGTGCCAACCATAGTCCCTATCAGACTTGCCCACTACACTAAAAAGCACCTGAGAAATCGTATCTTATTTAATAAGTAGTCTTAGAAACATCGTATGTGTGCCAAGCTATGATGGTCAACATTTTACTCTGAACTGAAAAAAAACGACACAAATCAAAAATGAACTGCATGAGCAGAAAAATTAATACCAGGTAATTTTATTTTAAAAATACATATAATTAAGTCCATGCAAAATTTGTAACAGATACTCATGGCACAATCGCAACTTCCTTCCATGTTGCTGTATAGTATTTTCACACAGTATTTAATTTTCTGTGGCATTTTCTTGAGGGGGAAAAAAAAAAACAAAAAGGTGTTTACAAGAGGATGAATATAAATATGGAGAATTTAGCAACAGGCATTGCATATGAAGACATGTTCCCTTTCACTGTGTATAAAAGAACCAAAGCGGCAGGAAAACAAGATACAACTCTGTATCCCTGTTTCCAGCAGCAGTGTCCAATTTGTATCAACAGACATGGTGTATCTGGAATTTGAAACCCCCAAGTTACCATGGCAATGCAGTTACCTCTCTGTGAGAAAATGCAGGTTTCACTTTTTTTTTTTTCCAGTCTCCATTTAAGATTGCAATGAGGAATATAGGTTTCAGCACTTATGGCCATGCCTCACGCAAGAAGTAAAAGAATAGATTTCAAAACACAGGCAACGTACATAAAAATTACAAGTTGCACTAAAAGAAAGGCTCTAACTCATGCTTTATAAACTTCCAAATCCTGCAACACTGGCTGTAAAGGGGTCAGAATTATTTCTAAGTCTTGCTGTTTCAGAACTGATCTTGCAGTCTCCCAAGCCAACAGCAAAACCCCAGCCTGCCCATTGAAACAACATGCCCCTTCTTCCTGTTGCACTATACGGTAGCTTGCCAAAGGGAACAACTGAGAGAAAGACACGGAAAGGATAAAGTAAATAAATAAACAGCTTAATGTCTTCCTTCTGTTAACAAGGGCACCACCCTTCCCTTCCTTTTTTTTTTTTTAATTAAAATCACAGAAGTGAACTCTCTGAATGCTCAGCCTTACAGAGGTAGCTAGTTCACTGTTTATCCATCTTCCAATCAAAGAAATCTCTCGGTTCAGCCAAGCACAATTCCCTTTCACACACTCAGGTTCTCCTCCTTGTCCTTACGCAAGATAAAGAATTAGCTCCCTCTGGCATTCATAAATACTATGCACATCACATCAGCTATTCTGCACAGACCCCTCAGCAAAGTACTTTGTGTAGTTGACTACCAAGTAAAACACACCCCCTTCTTTTTAAGAAAACTGACTAAAGAAACTACTGGGGCTAGGACATATCAAGCTACCTGTATTTCATAATTTAACTGATCACCACAAAAGCATTCCAGGAACCAAAAAGAGTCAGAGTGCTCTGCAAAACAAAACAGAGTGTGGGACAGAAAGACTGTGCACAAAGTCAGAATTTCTCCTCACCTCCCTGAAAAGTGTCTGACAGATTAGTTGGACTGCTACATTAAAGCATTTCTAGAACTGCTTCGGTCAATCAAACAAACAAAAAAACAACCTTCATTACCTGAACTCTGTAGAACCATTACAGTGCACTAGCATCCCCATTTTCTCCAAAAGGCCCTATACCAAATAAAGAGCACTGGACACAGCACTGTTTCAACTTTATAGCCTGGATAGCAGGGGTAGTTTTAGGTGCAGTTCCCTGCTAAAGCAAAAGCTCAAACACACCCTTCTGTCCCTCCAAAGCTAAGCAATTGTTCTGCACTATTCCGCATGCAGAAGAAAGTACAAAGTTGTTCCTGTTGTGCCACTACTAAAATAGGAGTCAAATTCTTGTTCAAATGGTATTAGACTCTGGGAGAAAATGTATCTAGTATGATTATGGTAGCAAACAGTGAGTCAGGATTTGCTGGTGCTATTCCTGGCTCTATCAGTAACCCACTCCGTGCCTACAGCCAAAGCACTTATGGGGCCTTTGTAAAAGTAGGCTTGGTCACTAGGCTATTTTACAAGATCTGACTGAAAAAGGCTGGGAAGGCCTGCAGGAGAAGGGATGTATGATCTTTTTTCATCCTATTCTCTCATTTTATAGAAAAGTTTATATGAAAACTTGAATAACACACTGAAATCCACATATTCACAGGATGCCAGGCTTAGGCTCTCTCTCCATTTGAGAGGTTGACTATTCTTACTCAAGATTAATTTTCTCTTGCATCTGAACTCTTACAGCTTCAGGGTCAATTTACTGATTTTGCATTGATTTTTAAACTGCCCTATCTCCATTCTTATACTGCCTTCAAACAATTTGTCCTCTACAATGGTAAGGGCCCTTATAAAGAGTTAAGGCAAACAGCAAGAGTTTATGAGAGTTATTAAGAGTTTGACTGGAGCTGTAAATCAAGGCCTCCTATAGCCATATGTATATAAAGCAAGGAAACTGGTTTTCCAATCTCAAACTAGGAGTAATTATTTTTGTTATTTTAGGACTACTCATCACCCTAAAAAGAAACAGATTTCTTTCCAAATATGCTGAAATTTAACTATTTAAATGCATCAAGACAGTGGGCCTATAAGAAGGCTGTTTAGTTTCCCTCTCTTTCTCTACATGAAACTACTCTTCTTCCATTAGCTTTAATTTTAAGACTACAGTACTTTCTATTCAGTGACAGATGGGAAAAACCTAAAACAAAACAATCCACTCTTTCCACCCCCCACCCCACCCCCCCAAAAAAAAAATGTCTAACCAATACAGTAAAAATCCCTCAATTCTGAAGGATGCAGTGGTCAATAACCTGAATGACATCATATAATTATTAACACGAATCTCAACCTAAGGACACTTGTCCTTTCAGTGGAGCTTTAGAGAAAAGACCATTTAGCAACTGACACAGGCTGAGGACTAGGTTTTTTTCAGGATCAGACTGGGAAGCTAGATTACACACAGATAAAAGACGAGGAGTTACAAGCAAGCTCACACTGACTGGTTTCGCCAAGGGGAATCATGTTAGCATTGTAAAACTGATAACAGAATCTCTAGGATGACAGCAGTCATGAGGTCTTTCACAGTCATGATTACAATTTATACCAGTTGTCGATGGAATAAATAGCTTGGTATTTGTGTCCTCCGATTCAAGGATCAGTGTAACTGGAAGATCCTTCTTACTCCACCATGAGATCCTGGCTCTTTGGCTACATAAAGGACATACCCACCATTATTATATGCATTATCCCATTCAACCCAGCTTCAGTAACAACTAACAAAGAGCAGAGCAAGGATGTTATCTACACAGCAGCCCACCAAGAACAACAAAAAAACACGAAGTGACACACCACCCAGAAATGCCTTAGAACTGAAAGCCAATAGCACAAATATGCTCAGAGTATTTCTTCTGCCCTTCCTCTCTGGTGGTTGCCAAGTACTATTTCAGGGCAACCAAAGGCCCTCTCTTTTGGCTGAGTCATGCCTTATCTTGCTATTAACTCTTCACAGTTGTCCAAGAACTAGCTCTATTCCAAGACAGGAAAATCAGGGAAGAAAACCCTGTTCTTCAAAGTCTCACAGGCCTCTCCAAAAATAAGCTGATCGTTTACTGTACTGGACGGGCAACAGGGTTTGGAGGTGTCAAGAATACAGAGCTGGGCTTCCCTTGCCCTGCAGGCTTGGCAGCTGAGGCACACACCTCCGATTCTCGCTGCGCTCACCGAGTTCCGAGAGCTGCAGAAACTGAGGATGTGCTTCCATACCTACCGCCAAGCCACAGCACTGCACTCAGGGGACCTAAGAGGTCTTCGCGAGCCCAGGGGTGTTTCGCTGTACGTGACTTTCACACGGTTCTGTGGGTAAAAGGCTGCGATTGAACAAAGCAGGGCGAGCGCCGGCGGGCAAGGGCTGAAGCTGCCCTCCCAGAGAGAGGGGTTACCGGGCCGCGGGCTGCCGATGACGGCACCAGGCTCTGCCACCCGCCGTCCCCGCCGCCGCCCCCTCGGCGAGGAGCTACCGACTCCTCCCCACCGAGCAGACGGGGCGGCCCCGCA